TACTGGAGATCCACCGAGTGTCATCAAGCGCACATTGCTTGAATGTGACTTTGTACTGCATTGGCTTGTTGCCATACTTGCGGTGCGTGATGACTCAGTCCACTTCCTGATGTCCGTCCATGGAGGGCGGATCCTGTGATCGACGTCCGGGAAACTCGTCATCTGAAGGTGGCGTGTAGATGGCCAGCTTTGATGCGTGGAAGACCCGATGCACTGTCAGGTGCGGTGGAATGTTGATCACGAAGGAAGGACCTGCGGGATCGTCTCCAACGGCAGAAGTGACTTTCAATGGTCCGAACCATTTCGGAAGGAGTTTGCGCGGAACGTCCTGCTCAAGCGCAAATTCCTCGGAGAGGACCCAAACAAGGTCTCCCTTGCGGAAAGGACATGGAAGTCGACGTCGGTTAGCTTGCTGCTGCATGCGGATCTGAGCCTTTTGCATATTTGTGGGGGCTTTGATCAGCAAGTCTCGGTACTTCCGGACGGAAGCAAGAGAGCAAGGGACGTCTATGTCGGCAGCCTGTGGCAAAAGGAGATCAGCGAAGATCCGTGCTTTCTCTCCACCATGATGTAACTCGAATGGTGTGATGCAGATCGCCGGGTGCACCGAAGTGTTATAGGCGAACTCAATGTCGGGAAGCCGGTCAACCCAATCTTTCTGGTCGGGACGGATGAGCGTACGCAACATCATCTGAGCGGTCTGGTGCGCGCGTTCTGTCTGACCATCCGTCTGCGGGTGCCGAGCTGAGCTCGGTTTCATTGTCGTACCGGACTCAGCCATGAGGGAAGTCCAAAAGGCTGACATGAAACGAGTATCTCGGTCGCTCACTATGTCTTCCGGAACACCTTGGTTGGTAATCCAACCGGTGTGCAAGAGTCGTGCGAGCTCAGGCGCTGCAGCATGATACTTGCAAGGAAGGAAGCAAGAATACTTGCTCAAACGGTCAACGACCGTGAGAATACCGTCATRGCCGTGGCGATCGCGGGGAAACGGGCCTGTCACGTCCATAGCAATGGAGAGGCGTGGTGCTCGAGGAATCGGCAACGGTTTCAGTTCGCCGAAGGGGACTCGAGATCGACCCTTGTTTCGGTGGCAAACTGCACATGACTCAATGTACCTCGTGACGTCATGAAGGACGTCGGGCCAGTGAAAACGCTGGCGGAGGCGTGCTAGTGTGCGGTTCACGCCAAGGTATGCCGAAAGTCGTGCGTCGTGGAATTCGCCGAGAAGACGAGTCCGTAAGATGCGATCTTGGGGCACAACTAACAAGTCCTTTCCTCTCGTGTGAAGGAGAAGGAACCCGTCGGAAATCCGATAGTGGCTAGCCGGCGGGTGATCCGATGAAAGCTCCGCGTAAAGCTGAGAGTAAGTCGGATCGGACTTGTAGCCTTTGACGAAATGCGGCTGCAGATCGTCATCGAGGTCGAATGCCGTGGTCACAATGGCACAAAAGTCGGGCCCTCGTGAGAGGGCGTCCGCAGCTCGATTGGCGGGACCGGGAATGTG